CCACTCGCAAAAACGGCCTACTGACAAAGTATAGCGTTCGTATTCTATGTCGTGGTCAGAGAAAGCCTGTATTATGCAAACCTCCGCCAGGCCTACCTCAACTCGCCTGCCTACGCATCTCGAATGTCGTCCCGTACAGTCCTCTTCATGTCAGTTCCGGACGCCTACAAGAACGAGAAGAAACTACGACAAGTATTTGGTGACTCGATCCGCCGAACTTGGATTACATCCGACTGCTCCAAGTTGGAAAAGATGGTTGGTCGACGAGATCGACTAGCCGAGAAGTTGGAAACCGCAGAGACCAAGCTCATTCGGCGAGCAAATAAAATCCGCACTCAAGCGATTAAAAAAGGCGAATGGAATATCGATATGTGTCTGGATTGCGAGTCAAGCAACCCGGCATGGTCTCACAAGGTCAAACGTCCCACGCATCGACTGAAATTCTTTGGCGAAAAGGTCGACTCTATCCACTGGTATCGGGCTGAGCTCGCAAAGAAAACCGAAGAAGTGTCGAATCTGCAAGCCAAACACCAAAATGGCGAAGCAAAACAGCTCAGTGCAATCTTTGTCGAATTCAACAGCCAGGCAGATGCACAAGTCGCCCTACAGACCCTGTCGCATCACCAGCCGTTTCACATGACGCCTCGCTTTATTGGAGTTTCGCCTAGCGAGGTTGTATGGTCGGCACTGAATCTTAGCTGGTGGCAAAGAATTGTTAGGAGATTCGCAATCCAGGGATTCCTGGCGGCGATGGTCATTTTTTGGTCATTCCCTGCCGCAATCGTTGGTGCAATTTCGAATATCACGTACATCTGCCAGCTGATTCCCTTCCTCGGCTTCATTCTTGACTTGCCCGATTTCATAAGAGGAGCAATTGAGGGTCTTCTGCCTGCCGCGGCCCTAGCGGCGTTGATGTCACTAGTGCCGATTATATGTCGCAGTACGCTCTCCAAGTCTGCCTTGTTCGTTGAACCCCTACTGACTTCTACATAGTATGCGCTAGACGAGCTGGAGTTCCATCAAAGGCACGAGTTGAGTTGTTCACACAAAGCGCTCACTTTGTATTTCAAGTGGTACAAGTGTTCTTGGTCACGACCCTGACATCGGCTGCGTCGGCTGCTACTGCACAAATTGTCAAGGACCCTCTCTCGGTCAAAGATCTGCTGGCGCAGAACCTGCCCAAGGCGACCAATTTCTACATTTCTTACTTTATTCTGCAGGGATTGAGCATGAGTTCCATGGCCCTTGTTCAAATTGTCAGCGCTTTGGTGTTCAAACTTGTCACCACGTTCTTTGCCTATTCCCCTCGTCGTCTGTTTCAAGGATGGGCCGAACTTGCCACTCTCAGTTGGGGCAATGTCTTCCCCGTCTTCACCAACATGGCTGTGATTGGTAAGCGATGTCCTACTGCTTTTAACGAGGATTAACTGACTCGATTTTTTAGCGTTGACCTATTCATGCATCGCGCCTCTGATTTTGGGATTTGCCTTCCTCGGGCTTTATCTTGTATACCAAGCCTACCGATACAACTTCCTCTTCGTATATGACATCGAAGTCGACACAAAGGGACTAGTCTACCCAAGAGCGCTGCAACATTTGTTAACAGGTCTCTACCTGGCTGAGATTTGCATGATAGGACTTTGCGCCATCAAGGGCGCTATCGGCCCAGTCATCATCATGGCCCTATTCATGGTCGGCAATATCCTGGCACACATGTCGCTCAATGATGCACTCGCCCCTCTGAATACTTTCTTACCACGATCCCTTGACGCGGAAGAGGAAATGCTTCAAGAGAAAGAAGATGCAGTGGCAGCGATCAACGAAGAGCGCCGCCCACGCGCGATGGCCTTCTGGAGATGGTTCCACCCGAACGTATACAAAGATTACGCGGCATTGCGTCAAAAGGTCCGCCGCAATGTTGACGGGGTTTCCTACACGCCCGAAGAGATGCGTACAGCATATTTCGAGCCATGTGTAGCATCACCACCACCGACTTTGTGGATCCCACGCGATAAGTGGGGTTTCAGTAACCATGAGGTTATGGAGACAGATTCGATAATCAGCATCACTGATGAGGGTGCGCACCTGGATGAGAAGAACAAGATCGTGTGGGATAAATATGATCCTCATCTTCCTTTGCGGGAATTGAAAACTCTGTATTGATCTTGGATGTCTGCCATGGAATATAATGACTTGATGACCAGCGATGGATTGGGTTCTTTTTGTACATAAATACTGATATTTGATACCGAGGCTGCTAGGCAAAGCGCAAGCAGCGCACTGAAATGTTTATAATATAGTTGATCCATTTCCTCAGTAAAACCACATTGAGATAGCATTCCATCAGACAGTCAAGGTAAAGTTGACAGCATTCACAACACCATTATCCCGCGGGAAAAACTCAAAGGTGAACACAGTCGATTGGCCAGCAGAAATGACAGAGCTAATGGCAGATGAAGTGAGGATTACATGGGAGTCGTCCCAGTTATACTGGTTGTTGTAGGTCTAGATCGATGTATCAGTATTGGCCAGAGGGTACACAAAGAGTAGGGCTCAGCTTACAGCTCTTGCTTGCTGGATAGGACCCAGTGATACCGTCCAGTCATCGACCAGGTACGTTCCACTCTTGGTCAAAGCCTTTACTGCAGCGACAGTTGGTAGTCCACCCCAGGTGATTGGAATTGATAGGTCAGAGCCAGACACAGACGAGGCCACTGCTGATGTAGATGACAGAGTTGGAGCCTTCCATTGAACAATTTGGATCACAGGGGACGAGTCGCCCCCCGAGAATTTGAGGGTTAGAGTGGCAATGACACCCGGTGCTGTCGTGGATGAAAGATGCTTGGATAGATACGAGGCTGTGAAGATTATATTCGCACCCGAGACAGAATAGTCTGTTCCCGACGACAGGGTCGAGCCAGTAGAGTCACTGATTGACGAGAGAGTGTTACCGTTGAAGATAAATGGAAGAGTCTGTGCGGTCACACCTGTTCCATACTGATGGAAAATATAAGCCGACGATGACTGGGTGGTTGCAGAAGCGTCCTCCGTACTGTCCGGCAAACTATTTGCAGTAGACTCGGTGGATTTTGCGATGATCGAGAGTGAGTTAGAGTCACGCCAGACTCCGCTAGTTCGATCCAAGTGGTCCAATCCGTTATCCCACAGCACGCAGGAGATATCAAAACTGGCTGCAGTCTTGATCAAGAAGTCAACGTACTTCCATCGAGCAGCGGGCTCGGTATTGGTGGGTGAAGCATCGTATTCACCCAAAAGCAGAGGTACATCAGGGAAAGTGCTGCGCAACCGCTGGAAGTCGGACTGTACAGCAGCCTTGTCACTGTCAGAGCCCCAAATGGTTTTTCCCCTGTTTTGAGTCAGTAAAATAATGCAAATATGTCCGGTCTATACCCTTACCACGCGCTGAAAATAAAGTCGTCTAGTGCCAGGCCGTTCAGTCAGTTTAACTCAACTCATTATACCTATAGGCATAAACCGACATATGACTCACAGGGACTGTAATAGTGGAACTGAATAGCATATGGATTCGAAAACCCAGAAGGTGCAACAAACCAGTCTGCAGTCTTGATGCTATCCTGACTACCTCCAACTAGAGTAACAACTCTTTGCGAGTTGAACCCACCAGCGTCATTGATAGCCTGAAGGAAGATCTTGTTTAGTTTGTTGATCTCAGTAGCGTCGGCCGCATTATTGCACGGAGGCTCATTGATGGGCTCAAAGGCAACAAGATTCGATTTGCAGGCCAACTTTGTTCCAATTTGATACCAGAGCCGGTAGAATTTCTCTTCAATCATGGTAAGATTGGCTCCAGATTGGGTAACATCAGCCCAAACCCATGAATCTGTTTCGTGTTAGTAAAGCTCAATATTGGATAAACAAGGTATATCATACCATGATGCACATCGACGATGGCGTAGAGTCCACGGGCCACAATCATATCAACGACGTCGGAGACTCGCTGCAACCATGTTGGGTCAACAGCCCAATCAGGTGAGCTTCCGGTAAAGTGATCAGCCCAGGTAACTGGGAGTCGGACACTCTTAAAGCCGGCATCCTTCACGGTATCAAATGTCGATGCCACAACTGGTACATTGTTCCAAGATCCCTCATCGGGGATAGCATCAAGGGTATTTCCTAGATTCCAACCAGGATGCAGATTAGAGACAAAATCGGCAGCTGAGATTGCATTAAATGCTCCAGTGCACACAGCCCCCGTTGAGGCAGCGCTAGCTGTCAGGGCTATCCCGGCGAGGGGAAGGAGGGCAGAAAGGAGAATCTGCATGGCAAGATCTACTGTCGGAGGAAGTCTACAGATCCTGATGGTTTGGAAAGGCCAAAATCAACGGCACCTCAAGGACATTTATGGTTGGCCGAACTTGTCATAGCAGCATTCTTTATATTAAGCCCTAATCCTGCGGGCCGGCGGACCGGGGTTGTATTCTTCAGGAAGGCTACATTAGTGTACCAAAACGCCCTTTGGCTTAGGCTAAAGGGCTTGTAGATGAGTGGTATATATGCTTGGCATAGATGCATATGTGGACTTTTAGTCTTTCTCCGGGGGAAGACTGTCTGGGGAAAGGCGCCGTAATAACTCCTCCAATGAGAAGCTTCTTCCTCCACAAATACAATGTAAGAATCCTTTAATTTCCCCAAACCTTAGGGCAAATTAGGTATAATCCATGCGGACAAGTCCGAAAATAGGTCGCTATTTCCTATGTCACCTTGTCACCTGGTTTATCTGTCTTTGATAGCCCCACTCCTGTAGAAGACGCGGAGAAGGTCCGTGTTGGTTTTTATAAACCCGTGGAGAATGAGGAGAATGAGAAACAAGAAACTAGTATTTTTCATATGGAATCATATTAATCAAAGACGTGTTGTTTCTCTACAGTATATATCATTTGTAGGCGTCATATTCATTCCATCAAGTGCATTGGCGTAAAGTATCAGGGCCACTCATTATTTCCAGGTCTTGGCATTGGTCACATCACTATGCATTCTTTGTTCCGTTCTGTCTCCATTATGTTATGGTCCCCTGTACGTACAGACGGGCGTGATCGGTGAGAATACTGTGGGGTTCGATTCCGCGAATTCCGGTTGCCGGGGTACTGATTTCCTGTGGCACCGCCGTATGGCCTTCTGTCAGGGGGCGAATAGCGCGGCCCGCTAGCAGCTTGTTCATAGGGAGGAGGAGGAGCGTTTGGGTCCTCATGGTCGGGCCCATGTTGTGGCTGAGGTCTAGGCTGAGAACCAACTACATTGGCAATGCTCGAAGATCGATTCGGTACATTGCTCAGCCGAGGCGAAGGCGATGGTCGATTGGAAGAATTAATCGGGGCAGACGTGCGACGGTCACGAGCCTGCTCGATTCTAGCATTTTCACGTCGCTCTTCTTCTTGGAACTGAAGTGAGAGCGCATATGCATAGTCTGCATCACTCTGTTCTTGAGTCGGCTCGGGCGATTTGGTTTCTTCGTCTGCATTTGGAGGATGCGTGGCTGGCTCATTAGATATTTGGGGGACCGCGGGACTAGCACTGGATGGGGCCGAAGGACCAGCGCCCACGGGGCGAAAGTCACCTGAGTAATATTCTGTGTTGAACCCAGTCACATCGACTAGAGATTCCCAAACTACCTCCGCATGACCCGCATAGCCAGCATCGGTGACCAAAGTATAGAGTTGGTGGGATTGCGGGTGCTTATATAGAGTCGAGAAATGGTCGTTGCGGAAAAGAATGGAGACAGATCCGGGCGCAAGTTTAGTCGAGAGCTGTGTCAAGCCAAATGGGCTTAATTGTGTCGCATTCTCAATTTCCACAAACCGCTGGATGATTTGAATATCCGCCATGATATTCTCTTCCTCAGATTCAAGTGCCTCGCCTCGCGTCACCCGTTCTTCAAACTCCTGTCTGCGGAAAGGCAGCATTTGAATATCCTCGTAATACTGAGCAGTGCGTGACATCGCAGCATGAGTAGGACTGGACCAAGAGGCTAGCCAGCCATGGATCAATGGTATACCAAACGTGCTGTACAGTCGAAGATCACTGGTCTCGAGGAAAGTGCCAAATCCTTCAGGAGAATCCTAACACTAGGTGTTAGTATAGGTGACCCTTGACAGATACATCGCATATACTCACCATTGTCAAACGTGGGTTGACATTCATGCCCGTATGCAGCATTGTCAGAAACTGGGTGAGGGCCTCGATGTCAGGGAACTCCTCATCGGGGCCCAGACATGTTGTCAGCTCTTCGAACATCGCCTCGATTAGCAGACCCAGAGAAATTTGCTCGCGGGTTGACAGAGCTCTAACGATTGGTGGGTGAGTATTGGGGTTCGCTCGCAGCACCAATGCATTTATAAGCGCCAGTAGTGGACAGGGTCCGTTTTGATTTTGGACCAAGATCGGGGACTCCAGCAATTGACCGCTTTGATCGGTCCATCGAATTTGTCGAATGGTATAGGTCTCTGATCTTTGTTCCCTTTGTCGTGCAGCTTCTGCAGCAGATAGCACGGGGCTTGCTTTGAATTGTTGTGGCTGTTGAACAACGGAAGATGTGAGATCTTGTTTTTCTGACAATGATTTTGCTCCGTTCGCGGCTGGTTCTGAGTACATCGAAGACGCAGCATGGGAACCAGTCTCGGCCCCTAGATTGCCAGTTGCACCAAACACACCCAAATCGATTAGTTCATGAGATGTGGCAGAGGTTCGACTGGAGAGAGCAACAGACGGAGTGTTTATTTCAGCATCCGATCCAAGCCTCCCTGAATTAGATGAAGGTTTATATGGTGCATGGGCATAGTTTTGCCCATCAGAAGACTCAGACGGCTGCACAGCAACCGCAGGGACATATGGATTAGACTGCACTCCTTGTAGGTAGACCTCTTGGGGGGCCGAGACCTTGATGGACTGTTGGGACCCCCACGGTGAGTTATCATCAAGGTGACGGCCGTCTAACACCGGGCGTTGCTCGGAATGAGAATCAGGACGAGGAGCCTCGGCCCAAGGGGATTCCTGTTCCGGCTCATCTAAAAGAGAAAGCCGCGCAGTCATCGGAATATATCCTTCGGCTGTAAATTGTTAGCAACAAATATTATTTTGAGAGAACTTTCAGAAGCAAGTAATGTCATACATTGGCTCAATGCGTCACTGTTCGAAGTTGCATGTGAATCACGCCCCCACTCATTGCGATCCAAGAGATCTTGAGTATGCTCCAGCCTGGGCTTCAAGAATGGATTATTCGACTGCAGCTGGACCGGTAGCTCTCCAGTCAAAGCCTGATCGGCGTCGGACGTTGGCCGCCCCACATTCTCAGCCACTCCTGGTTGTTGACCTACCATAAATGTAGGTGGAACCCAGTGCCCGTTTGTATTTGCAGGTTCCTTGTCTGCTCCGTCAAACTGATTATATTGACCGGGGCGACCGTCATCCGGCCTTCCGTTATTGTCTGGCCAGGAGTTCGGCGGCTGGCTGGTGGGAGACCCCACCGGCGACCGCTGCGCCTCTTCAAGTGGCATCAGATCAAACGCAGGTGAAGTGTTAAGGTCGGGGGAATAGATCGAGTCCTCAGAAGGAAATCGGTTCAAACGAGTCGGGCGGTGGGAGGATGCAGAGTTGGGTGATTTGGGCGAACGTGCGTCCGGCCGAGCACTGGACTTGCTAATATTCTCCAGACGCGGTGGGGGCTGTTTGCGCAGGCCCATCAAGACGTCCGTCGACCCTTTCGGAGGCGGAGCGATGAAGCTTTGAGTTTGTGTATAGTTTTAGGGATGGGAAGGCTAATAAAACACTTAACGTCAATCGAGAACACAGTCAAGAAGAGTTTGTATTTTCGATCTGAGAGTGGATTCAGGATGTGAACTCAAAGATTGAAATAATAACAATAAGCCATTAAGTATAGGAAAAGCGCCTTGCGCTGGGGCGGCAGGGGCTGAAATGCCCGTATACGTAATTGATGGGCAACACCTGGGCAGCCTAGGTAGCCTTTAGCTTGAGCTAAAAAATATCATGCTCCAGATGAAGAGAAAGCTATGTTGAAAGCAATGACGGAGGTGGATGATGATCTCAGGAGTCTATTCCGAGGTCTCTCTCTCTCTCTCTCGTGCAAGGCACCCGGATTCTGCAGATCCACCACGATTGCTGGTTAACTCCAATGCCAGTATGTGTATTTACCGTATTATTCACATGGAAGAGAGGCCATAGGTAGGGTGGCGGTGCTAGTATTGTATGGGGTAGTATGCTGGAGACTTAGTTATGACGAAATTGAATGGGGCCAGTAATTTAAGGCATTAGACTCAGGCATCAACCAATCTTAACGTATTTCACAAGCTGGCCACCCCAACCAAAACGCGTCAATTAATTTGAACCCTGCTTCTTTAACCACCTACCATGCCACCAATACGCTCTCGATCTTCTCAAAATTCAATAGAGCAAGAAGGTAGGATCTTATTAGCTAGCCAGGCTATTAGAATCAAGAAATTAGCTCTGTTCGTGAGGCAGCACGCCGATTTAACATGCCGAGATCTACCCTTTCAATGCGCGTTGATGGGGTTCAAAATCGCGCGATTT